CGGAGTAGGGCCTGCAGGCCCTCGTTTTTCAGCTATCAGGCTGAAACGACCGGGGCCTGTAAGCCCTAAGATTTAGGCTTTTAGGTTGAAAGTGCGGGACGAGCCTTGCAGGGCCCGTGTGGCTATGGAGGGTCCTGCGATCGTCGGCCCGGAAAGTCGTCGCTCTTAGTTGGCGTGTATGTTGCCAGCTTCGAGGCGTGAAAGACTGGATGGACCGTCCGATGCTCGGGAATGTTGATCACAAATGAAGGGCCATCGGGCTCATCGCCCGCGGCTGATGTCGCAGACCATGGTCCAAACCATTTGGGAAGCAGTTTGCGTGAAACATCCTGTTCCAGTGCAAACTCTTCCGCGGAGACCCAAACCAGATCACCGGCGCGGATGGGACATGGTACGCGACGCCTGTTGGCTTGCCACCCCCCCCCCTCCTTGAAAGACCGAGCTTACCTGCGAGCAGTCCAAAATGCCGACATGAAACGAGTGTCGCGGTCGCTGACTATGTCTTCTGGTACATTGTGGCCACAAATCCAACCGGTGTGTAGGAGGCGTGCCAGCTCTGGAGCCGTGGAGTAATACTTGCAAGGAAGAAAACGCGCATACTTACTCAATCGGTCCACAACCGTGAGAATGCCGTCGTGAATGGTCCGGTGACATCCATGGCAATGGAGAGACCGGGTTCCTGCGGGATCGGCATCGGGCGCAACTCGCCGTAGGGGTTGCGGTTGCGGGGTTTGCTTCGTCGGCAAACTTCGCAAGAGTCGCAATACCTCGTGACATCGGTGATGAGGTCGGGCCATCGGAATTGTTGTCGAAGCCGTGCAATAGTGCGGTTGACTCCGAAATGGCCGGCGAGTCGCGTATCATGATACTCGCCGAGGAGGCGAGTCCGAAGATGGCGGTCGCGTGGGACACATAGCGCAAAGATCAGGTCTTCGCGAGAGTGCATCTGCTGCGCGATTGGAGAGGCCGGGAAGATGTTTCGGTGTGAAGTCAAATTGGTCGATGAAGTACATCCATCGTCCGATTGTGCTGCTCACCGTATCCTGCGTCTTGTAGTAGGTCAATGGATTGTTGTCCGTCACCCATGTGAACCTACGACGCCCAAGGAGGAAGTGCTGCCATCGTTTGAGAGCCATGACGAATGCGAGCAGCTCCTTCTTCCTTGCATCATCAAGCGAGTTGATGGGAGGCACTTTGTGGATGAAATACTCCACAGGGTGCCAATCGTCGTCGTGGTGTTGTTCCAAGACTGCCCCAATGCCATAGCCGGAAGCGTCCGTAGTCACTCTCGTCGGTAGGGTGGGGTCATAGATGCTGAGGACGGGTGCCATGAGCATAGCCGTCTTAAGTGTTTGGAATGACCGGCGTGCGTCGTCATCGAATACGAATGGCACCTTTGGCGATTGTAATCTCGTCATAGGTGCAGCAATCCTTGAGTATCCGGTGATGAATCGCTGATAGTAGCCCGCCAATCCCTTCCATGAACGAACGTCCGTGGTGTTGGTGGGCTCGGGCCATACTCGTAGGGCCTCGATCTTGTCCGCAAGCGGACGGATGCCTTGCAGCGTCACATAATGTCCCAAGTACTCCAGCTCCTGCCGTGCGAATTTGCACTTGTCGCGGTTGGCTTTGTACTTGGCTTGTCGTAGCCACTCCAAAACGGTGCGCAGGTGTTCCACATGCTCCTCCAAACTCCGGCTGTACACCAGGATATCGTCGAGGTAGATAAGTACGTATCGATCCAGCATGTGTCGAAACTCCGTTCTCATAGCCGCTTGGAAAGTGGTCGGGGCATTCGTAAGGCCAAATGGCATAACCAGCCATTCAAAATGCCCATATCGCGTCTTAAATGCGGTCTTGTAGCGATCCTCCTTGCAAATCTCGAGTTGGTGATATCCCGACTTGAGATCGAGCTTGGAGAAGAACTTGGCGCCGCCCAGTCGCTCGACAAGATCGTCGATGCGTGGGAGAGGGCCGGCGTTTCTTATCGTCTGCGCGTTGAGCTTGCGATGTGTTCTTCTTCCGGACGAAGAGAACAAGAGCACCATATGGCGATAAGCTAGGCCGAATCCAGCCTTTCTTCAGAAGGTCGTCGAGTTGTGCTCGAAGCACACTTAACTCTTCCTCGCTCATTCGGTAGATGCAACCGCGTGGAGGTACGGCCCCGTCCTCGAGGATGATCTCGTGGCGGATGGGTCGATCCGGTACTACTCCGTGCAGGTCTTCGAACACGTCGTTGTAAGTGTTGAGAAGTTCGGTGATGCGTGGATCCGAAGATGAGTCCGTCGATGACGCGTCTTTGGGCATGAGGGCGTGGAGAAAACACACCCCCATCTCCTCGATGTCGTCTCTGATGATGGAAGTTCGCATGCTTGCGGCGGATACCACGTGACAGCTGACTAAAGGGTGAGGAGGGGCTACCGTGCATGGGACTAGTACTCCGTTCCGATCACGAACGTGAACGGTGCGGCGGTAGAAGTTCACCGGGTGATCCTCGCTTCGCMGCCATGACATGCCCAAGATCATGTCGAATTTGGTGTCCAGAATGTCAAAGGACACCGCCTCACTTGTGTGAGGGGCAAAGTACACTGGGACGTTGTCAATGCACCGGTCGATTGACTTGTGTGTGTGACCGTCCGCTAGTGTGACTTGCGTGGGCTGGGACTTCCTTCGGACTCGTGGGCCAAGGCCGGCGCATACCATGAAGTCCTGACTCATGTAGTTGCGAGATGCTCGACAATCAATCAAAGCGTTGCAGGTCGCCTCTCCGATCTGAATGCGTACATATAGCAATGGTGCGTCGATGTCGTCGTACCGTTGAGTCTTGAACTCGCGGTCGATCTTCGCAATGTAGGCGTGAAGGTCGACAACCTCTACTCCGGCGTCCATCAACGGAGTCGGTACTGCAATGTGCAAGTAATCTCGCAATTGCGCCTTGAGCACGTTGCAATGCGGTTTCGGCAATCGACCGGACCGGGGCAGGGGCATCCATTGGAAGTCCTCAAAAGTCAACGGGTCGAGCTCTTCAAGTCTTGACCATGACGTTGAATCCCCGGCGGTAGATGACGGCGAAGCTGCCGAATCGGTTGTCGATGGTGATGAAACCGTGCATGCGGTAGAGTGTTGCACGTGGAGCGGTTGGTCCAGCGCTGGGACCAAGTTGACAGCATAATCCTCGTAAGTGTACCGAGAACTTGCGACATGCACATCCTCCCCAGATGTGTAGGAGGCCGCTAGCAAGGCGGCAAAATCTGGCGGAGTGAGAGGTGGAGTCGCCTCACCTCCTGCGCAACTCAGTTTCCCGAGTTAAGACGAGGCCGCACATCCTCCTTGGCCTGATCCTTGCAAATGGAGGTCTTGTGCTTGGTGTTGTTGCACCAGTAACGGCAGCCGTAACGGTTGCGGTACTTGTACTCGGCCTCGGTCAAGCCGAACTTGACCCATGGTGGTGCTGGCTGTCCGTTTCCGGCCTGCGATGCTGGTTTCGCCTTCCCGTTCACTCGGGGCTTGTTGCTTCGCGGCTGGACAGCAACCACCTAATCTCCCTCACGTGACGCTTGGGTGGCTGCCGGATCTTCCACAGTGTCCGATTGGACTGCAGCGAACTGCTGCTGTCGCGGACCAGTTCTCACCTTCTCCACATAGGTTGGCTGCCATGTTGACTTCTCGTGTGCAGCCGACCTGTTGGTCTTGATGATCTCCCTTGCCTTATCAATGATCTCAGCGAAGGTGGTGTATTGCTCGCGATCACCAAGTGCCTGGCTCAGTGCAGCACATGACCTGTTGTAGAACTCATGGCGTAGATGCGTGAATGGTAAGTCCAGATCGGGCACTGCCGCGATCTTCTACCATTCCGTGAGCCAGTCCCATGTTGCTGTGTTGCCCCGAGACATGGTGAAGAGACGGTTGATGGCTAGTGCTGGAGCGTCGTCGACGATGAACCGCTTCTTCCACAGCCGTGTAAACTCTTCCCATGTGATCTTGTCCTTCAGATCTGCGACGTCGACGCCATGGGTGGCTGCCAGGTGGGTTAACCAGATCTGGCATCCGCCCTTTGAGTTCATGAACAGGACGCCGATGTATGCGTGTTTGGCGACAGGCAGACTCCGAAGTTGCGTCGTGAATGCTTCCCACCAGAGCACCGGGTCCAGATGCGTGTAGTCGTCGAACTTCTCTTGTTGAAAGGTTGGCATCTTGTATTGCTTTGGATTGTTGCCATCCGTGTTCGTCGACTGCAGTTGCTGGACCTCGGTCTTCAATGTGTCCAGCTGGTTGCTGATGGTGGTTGGCGCCGCGAAGGTGCTGATGTCGCCGAGCATTGCCACTACATGGTCAACACGTTCCTCCAGTTGGCAGCTAGAGGGTGCACTGCTGGAAGCCCCAACATCTGGTCTTGGTACAGCCTGTTCCAGGTCTAGTACACGGGAATTGATTGCCCGTGTTGCATCCTCGTGGCTTTGCACCATCCGGCGGAGGTTCGCCAACTCCTGGTGCTGTGTCTTCAGATCCTGGTACTGTTGCTGCAGTTCCTGGTTCTGTTTCTCTAACTCGGACCGTTGGTAGTTGCAAGCACACAACAACCGTGTCACGAGTTTGGAGAGGAACTCCTTATGCTGCTCTTCCGGTGTGCCGTCGTCGCCGTTCGATTCAAAGTGCCAGAACTTGAGTCTCTCGATGCTGTTGGATTCATGTCGCTGCAGCAGATCCTGGGCTTCCTTGCGGTGAGCCTGGGCATCTGCGTCTGCTTCGGCCTGTAGCCGCAGCTTCTCTGCTGTTGCCGCTTCTTCAGCCTGTAGGCGGGCAGCCGCGGCTGCCAGCTGGCGATGTTCCTCAGCCTCGATGAAAGCGAGCTGAGCCTGGAAGTGCTTTTTGTAGTCGGCAATAGGCTCATTGGCCAGTTGGCCTCGCATGCCCATTGCTGGACCCGTCATGCTGACGTGGCACTGTGACTGACGTGGCACTGCTGACGTGGCACTGTGTCTGACGTGGCACTGCTGACGTGGCACTGTGTCTGATGTGGCACTGCTGACGTGGCACTGTGTCTAACGTGGCACTGCTGACGTGGCACTGTCTGACGTGGCACTGCTTACGTGGCACTTTGTCTGATGTGGCGCTGCTGACGTGGCACTGCTGACGTGGCACTTTGTCTGACGTGGCACTGCTGACGTGGCACTGTACCAGCTTGGAAATGCATGCAAAGGGGTGGGTGGGAGGGAAAACGTAGGTAGGCAACCAACCCAACAATACTTTCCTCCGGCCCTAGTCAACAGATAAAATAAAATAAAAAATAAAAGAGGACTACTTTCGTTTTTTTTTTTTTTTTTTGTATATCTGTCGATCTATTATGAGTGAGACATGTCAGAAGAGTACTATGAATGAGATCTAGGCTAGGATCCGCAAAGTTTCGGCTTTCACAAAATGCGATCTTGAATTTTTTTTTTTGCTAAATGGAGTAAAGATGCGATTTTCAGAAAAGAACAAAATCCCGTTTTTGAGAATATGGCAATCTCAGAATATGCCTAACGCAATATTGGTAGGCTTCGCAAGATTTCGGTTTTCAGAAAAAAATTGCGAGATAGAATGAAAATTCAATTTTCAGAAAAGAATAATTTCGGTTTCCGAGAATATGACCACTTCTATCGTTATCCCAATATTCCTAGAAAGCGAAATACTAACCTCAGAAAATTTCAGCTATGTATGCGAAATGTCAGAGAAACGAAATGCTACTATCGGGAATTTTTAGACAAAACGAAATGCGATTTATCAGAAATTTTCCGATATTTGTTACGTAAAAACGAAATACTAATATCAAAAATTTTCAGGTAAAAAGAATATCAGAAATTTCAGATAGTTGTTGTGAGAAAAAAAAATTTTCAGAGATTTGACGAAGTCCTACTTGATTTACTAACGAGTAATCGATAGATCAAGCAAGCTGGCTATTTGATTGAGCGGGACCTCTAAATGAGAGGTCCGCTCCAATACCAAACTGTTGCATACTGTAACGTGCAGACCAGAACAAGAACCGACCTCTCATTACAAAGTATAAGATAGCACAGCGGAAGACTTAGATACCAATGATCCGAACAATCAATATTGCAATGCAGCCCTGAACATACATCATCATCATCGTTACACAGTGTGAATGGGGTCTGGCGCTTCACACAGGAAGACTGCGCCAGCCCCTACCATACACAGACGAAGAAGAAGGGGGTTAGACGAAGAGGAGGGGAAGATGGGAATGTCATCAACACCAAGTCTTCGGCACAGCCCAAATAGTCCCTCGTCGTGTTTGAATCCCAAATGTCAAGTCTGGATCCAATGTCGTCAAGTCCCAAGTCACAACTCTCTCTCTGTAGTAGTCTGCTGATAGCTGAGAAGTCAGGTGGTGAGAGGGGAAGAAGAGATGGTGGACTTAGAAGAAGAGGAAGAAGAACTCTCTCTCTCTCTCTCTCTCTCTCTCTCTCTCTCTC